ACACCCCCCCCCCCCCCCCCCCCCCAATATTCATAATTGTGAGAAAGAAATACACAGAAGCTGTTTCAGAAAGATGCCTACTAGAAATATTTGTATTCCAAGATGTCACTTTTTTCCAGACCAATACAAAAAAGAATTCATATGGATGAATACATTTAGACCCCATCTTATAAAAAAATTAGTCTTCAATAAGAGGGCATTACCATTTTACAAGATTTTTAGGTGACTATCACACAACATATGCCATCAACTCAATTACATATATACACATATATCTGTTTTATTTTCAAAATGTAGTTCTGAGAAACCACAAGCAATCGCCTTCATTTAAACCCATTTTACCCTTTTCCTTGCAACTTAAAATTCACATAGCTTTTAATCAAAATCTGAAATATCAGGAAGTCAAGGAGTAGCGATCCATTTGGCTGAAAGACTATGAAGATAAGGACAGGTCCATGTTAGAAGTCTGAAGACACGCACAAAATAAAACAAACAGGGAAAGAGGACAATATGACTAGCACATTCCTTGAAATCTAAAAAACCCACCTACTCCCCTGAAGATTTATTTCTTGGGCTGAAGCTCTGTAAAAAGGAAATCATGATAAGTCAAATCAGTCTATCACAAAATACTTACTGATTGGCCTTTTGAAGTTCTTTCTGTTTCTGCAGATTCGTGTCCACGTATTTGAGCACTCTGCTTTCTGGAACCCATTCATCCCAGCTGAAAAATTAAATCACCATTCAAAAACACTACATAATTAGATTCTGTTCCCAATAATCAAAGACTTCACAGCATTTGAGACTGAATTTTTGCTTCTGTGGTAAGTCATGAACTGGCACAATTGAAAGTGTAAGTTACCAGATAAAATGCATTCCCACTGATTGAAGCTCTAACCATTTCTCTAAGACAAAGTGAAATGTTCAGTCTTTCCTGCAGAGATTGCCAATTGTGAAACAGACTCCAAATCTTAAAATTTCTTTAAATTTATTTTTAAAAGTCCAATTTTTTTTTTAAAAAGGGCTACACTTACTATAACATGGGAAATCTGCAGCCATAATTAATTTATGCAGCAAGATAAATTTACTGTATCTTTTCCAACATATTTTATAGGTGAACAAATTCAGCAATAAGATCTTACTGTAAAAGGAAGAGCTCTGATTTCTCTCTGTAAAGGAAACCAAGATGGCATGAACATTTGAAAAATCGGAAGTAAATGATTTAATATAAACGTATGTTGGAGAAATTGCCATTGTAAGCAAGCCAATTCCACTTTGACAAAGAGCAGATAATCTTTCAGCAATTTGACGAATATTTTAAATTAGAGGCACATTAAAAATGGCCATGTGAAATTATGTACACATTTTCCAAAATATATCAAGTTGTATGTTTATTTATATAAATTTGTATGTAAAATACAGAGCTTTGTAAATTAGAGTTTCTCCACCTTGCATTTCATGGTGAAGTAATGATCTCATTGCAAAAGTTGTCAAGCTTAGAATGCCAACATGGTAAAAACAAGTTCACCATAAGTCTTCAAGATTCTTAAAGGTAAGTTTAGTGTGCAAGTATTACAGAAAACAAAAATAAAATACATCCAACTGTACATATATTAGAGGCTATATATTTAGGATGAGGCCTTGGTGAAGTATGTAAGCCACTTGATCTTTGCTCCCAAAGCTTATGTTGTTGCCAGAAACCCTCAATAGAAGAAAACTGTACAACTGTGTGAGAATGTATTATACTATATATGACGTGAAAACGACTTACTACTAAGGCTTGTAAAAAACACTGGAAGCCAAGCAGTTTAAAACTCATGAATTATAGAGAACCATAGCTTAATTATAAAGTCATAAATTAAAAAGCCATACAGTCCCAGTTGTCTAGATGTTGCAGCAATGCCACTTTTAATGTAGATAATTGGAAGCTTGGAAAAGCAAGAAAATAATCAAAGGCAAACAGTTAGTGCAAGTGGAGAAAGACAAGAAAAAGTCATTTGACACAGCCAATGACACCCACCACTACCTATTAAATAGAAAAGAATGGATTTTAACTGATCCTTAAGAGTCAGCATGAATTTAGCAGCAGGCACAACCGTTCAAGTTTCAACTTGTTACACAGGCGTTTACATGAAGACACTCCTTTGGCTGTTCACTGCTTTGGGGGAAGCTTTTTGAAGATACTAGATACCAAAACATGAAGTTTAACTTGGACCTCACTACATGCCAACAAAAGCAAACAATTACGCCTTGTGTCTGTCCCCCACCGTGCCTTTTTCAGAGCATATGGCAGCAATGTTCACATGAACCAAAATGACTCTCTGAAAACTGCTGTCTCTGAAGGAGACTTAGAATTTGCAGCTTTTCGTATTCCATCAGCTGCTAAGGAAAAACAAGTATTTATGACTCCTACACTCAGTGTTAGACTGTAGAATACAGTTGAACTGAGCAACAAAACTGAGGGCAGTCTAGTAGTATCCCCCTTTTGAAAATAAACACACATCGCAACCCACAAGCACCATGTGGATGCTGCATCAGGATTGTTCACAGAAAGTTGGTGACCAAGAATAGGAACAAGTTGTAATCAAACTTATCAATGATGCTGTTCTCAATCCTTGTTGCTCACCCAAAAAAACCTCACAAGAAATATACTTGGAATTCCAAAAGCAAAATGCTCACACAGACTTTCTAATCTTTGGAGACATGAAAGAAGTTTTAATTCTTGAGAGAAGAGAAAATTCTAAAATCTCATTTTTACAAAAGGAAAACCTTGTACAGCTTTAGTACAACCTTCCTTTACCCCCGACATCAAGCATGTTGCTACCCAACAGACAGATCGAATAGGTGAGGCTTTCAGTCTCTCCTGTACCAACTTAGGGCACCCACCATCTCATCTATTCTGAGAGCAGCCTCCCTCCCCTCCCCTCCCCGCCGCCACTAATCCTACTCCCTTTTCCACCGCTTGTTGTATTTGGTTACGTAAATAGAACAGATGGAGTCTTTGACTGGAGAAAATATTGCTCCACTGTTCAACAAGCCGGGGTTGTCCCATATCCCAATATACAACAAAAAGTTGTATCCTATATCTTCAAACCTAGAAAACATGGAAACAGTTCTTAAAATGGGTAGGCAGTGCACTGGACTGCTGCAATAAGGAAATCTAGTTAATCTACTGGCACTTTGAGCAAGTTTGACTAGCCAACTGATGCACCAAAGGAAATGTGCCTTTAAAACTAAACAATTATTTGAGCAACATTAGCTTTGTGTTATGCCAGGCTCTAAATGGCTAGGCTTCACTGCAATAAATTGACTTTAACTCAAGTTAATTTCTGAGCTAATGAAACATCTTCAATTGACTTATGCTTGGGAGCGTCAGTCCATTAAGCTAACACCAGCTTGGGCAATCAATAAAGGAAAATTAAGTCTTGTTTTCAGAGACTTACTACTTACTTTTTATTCCAACCACTGTAATGTATAAAGTATTTCACTTGTTTGTCCTTTATGGCAACCTTTACACACTGAAATAAAGAAGAAAGTTGGGTTAGCAATATGATTTCAAAAAAAAATCTCTGGAAGTCTGGCTAAAAGCTTTCAGTCTAAATACAAAGATTTCTGTGCAAGCCACTGAAGTATTTGGCAGCAACGTCACTACAGAATAGAAATTGTCCAGCAAAAGATACATTATTAGTGGCTTTGTATTTCAGTTAAATATTTTTCGTGTATCAGAAGGGCTATATAAGCAGAACTGACTGACACTCAACTACCCATAGGTTTTTTGAAGGGCTTAATAACTTCCTTTAGGAGGAGAGCAAGAGACAACATGCTGCTGACCAGAAGACACAAGGAGCAGGTCACTTTAATCTCTTCAGTACTCTCTGGAAAGCTAACCAGAAGCCAGGTTTACATAGAGAATGACTCAAGGCTTGTCTTCACTACCACACTGCTGCAATAGATGCAGCGGGTGTCTATTAAGCAGGTCTAGTGAAGACCCGCTAAAGCTATAGCAGAGTGCTCTCAGGTCGACTCCAATACTCCAGTTCCCCAAGAAGAGTAAGGGAAGTCAACTACAGAGCGTCTCCTGTCGACACAGAGCAGTGAAAACACCGTGGTAAGTTGACCTAAGCGACATCGATTCCAGCTATATTATTCACGTAGCTGGAGTAATGTAACTTAGGTCGACTTACCCCAGTAATGAAGACAAGTCCTCAGTATCATTGTTCGCATGCATACCCTTATCTCAGTTAGTTACAGGACAGGAAGTTAAGGAAATAATATTTTGGATTTCTGCAGCCACATAGCAAGCTCTACATTCAGCAGTAATTGTTTGCAGTAGGTACTTTTCAGGCTGAAGAATTTCTGAAGTGAGAATAAGCTAAACTTTGTTATCCTTATACTAAACTAAGGAAACCTAAGAGAAACATTCAAAGTCCTGAATATCTGATCAAGGTGAAGATAAACTGTTGTTACACACTTTAGCTAAGTTAGAGTACAGTGTTTCCTCCCCATGAAGGTACTGATGCACTAATCAAGTGCTCTCAATCTACTTTTTGATACGCTAAACAGATTGAGCTCTTTAAGGGTACGTCTTCACTACCCGCCGGATTGGTGGGTAGCAATCGATCCCTGAACACGCTCCCTGTCGACTCCGGAACTCCAACAGGGTGAGAGGTGGAAGCGAAGTCGACGGGGGAGCTGCGGCCATCAATCCCGCGCTGTGAGGACAGGAGGGTAAGTCGATCTAAGATGCGTAGCTGAAGTTGACGTTATTCTCGTAGCTGAAGTTGCGTATCTTAGATCGATTCCCCCCCCCCCCCCCACGTGTAGAACAGCCCTTTGTCTCTCACTGCAAGGGATATTCTCAAATCACTTCGGTGGTTCTTTTCTATTCCCTCTCTCCAATTTTTCAACATCCTTTAATAATGTTGACATTAGACCTATTCTAATATTGGTCTCAACAATAGAGTATACAGAGGTAAAGATCACCTCCCTACTCAACACTCCAAATACCTCATTATCCCTGTGTCATAGTATCACACTAGATTAGTGTGTTGAATTGCTTGGCCACTATGATCCCTAAATTGTTTTCAAAGACACTGCTTTCCAGGACACAGTTCCCCCATTTGCTTGGTATGGCCTGCAATCCTTGCTCCTAGCCAAATGCAGGGTCATGTTTATGTTAAAAACATTTGGTTTGAACGGGTCCAGGTTATACCCAAACACTCGGTATGACTGCCCTGTCTTCATCATTTACCGCTCCACCAATCTTTAGCTACATCCACACAGAGTGATTCTCCTGGTCACCCACACATACTCGCCCTAGTGCTGATGGACCTAGTGAGAGTATTACTAGCAGTGTAGCTGCAGTGCCATGGGCAGCGATGACCCAGCGTAGCTGTGCTGAGCATCTACCCCGGAGTTTCAGGCAGGTTTCTACTTGGCACAGCTAAGTAATGCCTCTGCTGCTACACTGCCATTTATACTCCTGCTAGCTCAAGGAGGGCTAGCGAGCATGTGTGTGCACAACCAGGAGAATCACAACCCTACCTCACAGTAGATTGTCTCAGCCACAGATTTTAATCAGCAGTGATTTTATATTTACTTCCAGATCATTGATGAAAAAAATATTAAACAGCGTTGGACCTAGTATCAGTCCCTGCAGAACCCCTTTAAAACACCTCCATTTGATGATTCCCCATTGACAACTACTTTGAGAGAGGTCATTTAACCAGTCGTTAATGCATTTTACATGTGCTCTATTGGTATTTTATAGTTCTTAATTTTTTTTTAATCAAAGTGTTGTGTGGTACTAAGCCAAATGCCTTACAAAGGCAACATATATTACATCTGCACAGTTATCTTTATCAACCAAACCTGTGATCTTCTCAAAGAATGAAATCAGGCTTGTTTAACAAGACTCAAGTATCAGAGGGGTACCCGTGTTAGTCTGGATCTGTAAAAAGCAACAGAGAGTCTTGTGGCACCTTTAAGAAGGGGTACATGCATCTGACGAAGTGGGTATTCACCCACAAAAGCTTATGCTCCAATACATCTGTTAGTCTTAGAGGTGCCACAAGACTGTTGCCTTTAACAAGACTGTTTTCTATGAAACCTCATTGACAGGCATTATATTCGTAGCCTTCAATGCTGTATTAATGGAACCCCATTTTGCCCAGGATTGATGTCAGGCTAACCAGCCCTTAGTTACCCAGGTCTGCCAGCTTGCTCTTTTTTAATATTGGCACAACATTAACACTCTTCTAGAATTTCCCTAGTATTCCAAGATTTATTAAAAATTATAATCAGTGGGCCAGAGATCTCCTCAGTCAATTCTTTTAGGACTCTTGAGTGCAAGTTATCCAGGCCTACATAAGAACATAAGAAAGGCCGTACCGGGTCAAACCAAAGGTCCATCTAGCCCAGTATCCTGTCTACCGACAGTGGCCAATGCCAGGTGCCCCAGAGGGAGTGAACCTAACAGGCAATGATCAAGTGATCTCTCTCCTGCCATCCATCTCCATCCTCTGACAGACAGAGGCTAGGGACACCATTCCTTACCCGTCCTGGCTAATAGCCTTTAATGGACTTAACCACCAGGAATTTATCCAGTTCTCTTTTAAACTCGGTTATAGTCCTAGCCTTCACAACCTCCTCAGGTAAGGAGTTCCACAAGTTGACCGTGCGCTGCGTGAAGAACTTCCTTTTATTTGTTTTAAACCTGCTGCCTATTAATTTCATTTGATGACCCCTAGTTCTTGTATTATGGGAATAGGTAAATAACTTTTCCTTATCCACTTTCTCCA